AAAACACAGCTCAGGGTGGATCACAACGTCACCACACACACTGAGCACAAGCAAACGGGCACAAGGCCAGTCCACATGTAGAGGTATATAAGCAACAAGAACAGCACAGTGATCTCTATCTAGCAAGAGCAAGCATGCCGGTATATATATATATATATATCACAGTACAAGCAGAGACTACAGCAAGTGTGGAAACGTAGGCACAAGGCCCAACAAAGTACAAAAGCGCTGATGGTCACAAGACGGAAGTGCCTTGGTGAATATATCAGCACGGTTGGCCCGAGTGGCCACGTGAGCAAGGCGAAGCTGACCCCGCTGCTGCAACTCTCGAGCAAGGAAGTAACGCAGAGCGATGTGCTTCAGTCTCTGCTCCTGATACAAGGCAATAGCGGCCTTGTTGTCTACGTACAGCACTGGAGAACGAGGCCGCTCTCCCAGGTCGGTCAGCAGGTAGGTGAGCCAGCGTAACTCCTGTGCAGCCATGGCTGTGGCGTAGATCTCAGCCTCACAACTGGAGTTGAGAACAGAAGACGAGCGTGTAGACCGCCAAGAAACAGAGCCGGAGCCAAGGCTGAACTTGTAACCCTGTGAGGACCGCTGTGTAGCCTGGCCGTCAACCCAAGAAGCGTCTTAGTGCCCAGTGAGGACAACTAGACTCCGCCCTCCAAGCACGAGCCCCATGCCCGATGTACTGCACAAGTAGCGCAGTACCCTCTTTGCAGCATCCATGTGCACCTTTCGGTGCCGACCAGGAGCCACATAGCGAGCCAGAAGGCCAAGAGGGTACGCAAGGTCAGGACGAGTGCAGGTCATCAGGTACATGAGGCAACCCACTAGCTCTGGGTAAGGACCACTCGGCTCTACGGACTCTTCCGAAGGTGGAGCTGAGAGCAAGTGACCTATAGCCAGAGGAGTGTGCTGTGCCGAGGACCAGGTAAAGCCGAAGCGTTGAAGGACCTGCTGCACCATGTGTGACTGAGTCAGTGTGATGGTGCGGCGTGCTCTGTCCCGGGTGATCTGCAAGCCAAGGTAGCTGCGCAGCTCACCCAGGTCTGTGCACGTGTGTCTCTTCTGCAGCTCAAAGTTCACCAGGGCTAGAGCCTCAGTGTCAGCAGTGGCAAAGACCAGGTCGTCGACGTACATGAGGATGTAGAACAGCGGCAGCGAAGTGTCGGTGCGCAGAAACAGCGACGGGTCAGCAGTCGAAGGAGCAAACCCAAGAGCTGCAAGTGTCGTCCTCGGTGTGTCGTGCCACTCACGTGGCGCCTGGAGGAGACCGTAGACCGGTCGCCGGAGGCTCCACTAGGTACCAAGAGGGAACGACCCAGTGAAGCCGGGTGGGCGGCGCAGCCAGATCTCGTCGTGCAGGCTGCCCTGTAAGAAAGTTGTGCTGAATTCAAGCGAGTGAAGCTCGCAGTCACGCTGAGCGGCAACGTGCAGCAGCACCCGAAGAGTGGTCATCTTCGTGGTGGGGGAGAAAGTCTGGAAGAATTCAACTCCCTCTCGCTGACTAAAACCACGAGCAACGTAACGAGCCTTGAAGACAGGCGGAGAACCTGGCCGCCGCTTTACCCTGAAAATCCACATGCCACTGACGATGTTCGCCCCAGGAGGGGGAACCTCGTCAACGTAAGTGCCTGTGGACTTCCAGGATGCCATCTCTGCGTCCATGGCTATCTGCCACTGAGAGGAGTACTCACCCGCGATCGCCTCAGCGTAAGAGCGCGAGGTCGGGATGTCTGGTGCATGTGGGTCTCCCTCTGGGGCAAGCAGCATGGCCACGAGATGAGGCGCAGCGGCGGCAAGACACTCAAGGTCCTCCTGCCTGTCCTCAAGGACGTCCGTGCCAAGAGCACACTCATCCCCGACGGACGGAGGATAGACAGACTCAGACTTAGCAATAAGACTAGCAGCATAGTCTAGACAACGGGTAGCAGCAAAGTCAACCAGCTGAGCGACAAAGGCAGACACAGCAGTAGACTCAAACGACGGGTCAGTGACAACAGTGGCTTGTAGACGCGTGACAGTAGGGTGCTCACCACAAAACTGGTCAGACTCAGGGTCCGTAACGACATGCAGAGAAGACGCAGGAGGAGACAGCAGTGGAACACGCTGTGGAGGAGAGGAAGGACGACGGACTACAAGGGAAGGGCCGGGGACAGCCGGCTGATGCTGGCAAGGAACACGACGACTGGAACGACCAGAACAGATAGGTGAGAGAGGACGCGACGCAGGCTCACGACGCTCAGCAAGGCCCCCTGTTTGCTCAGTGTAAGGAGAAGGAGAAGGCAGAGGTGAGCCAGGCTGTAACGGAAGACCTGTAGACGACGGGAGGCTAAGAACCAGGCAAAGTACGGAGTCAGGCGGTGGCAGAGACGACGGAGACGGCGGAGCAAAGAACAGGCGCGGCTGTGCAGTGCCACCAGCACCAGCTGCTCCAGCACCCTCAGCAGCTCCAGCACCTCCAGCAGCTCCAGCACCTTCAGTAGCTCCAGCACCTCCAGCAGGTCCAGTACCCTCAACAGCTCCAGTACCTCCAGCAGCTCCAGCACCCTCAGTAGCTCCAGCCCCTCCTGGTCCAGCACCCCCAGAACCGGCACCTCTAGGCCCAGGGTCTCCAACAGCAGTGCCACCAGCAGCAGTACCCTCAGACACACCACCGCCAGCCGCAGTAGCTCCAGTACCTCAGTACGAGCACCTCCGGGACCAGCGACACCAGCACCTCCAGCAGGCATAGGACCAGCACCACTCCCAGCTCCAGTGACGCCAACAGAAGAACCGCCTGTAGTAGAGCCCTCAGGTGCAGAAGCGCGACGCTGACGGCGACCGTACCAGTCGTGCAGCTGCTGGGAGGTGAGAGGCACACGCGGACGAAGACGGCTACTCCAAGGAGACCGCGTAACAGCAGTCTCAGAACCCTCAGGCGACTCACCCCCAGACTCAGTACCCCCAGGCGTAGCACCCCCAGACACAGCACCCCCAGGCTCAGGAGCTCCAGGCTCCTCACGCGCATGCTCAGCACCTCCACGCTCCGCACCCTCAGGCTCCTTTCGCTCAGCACCCCCAAACTCAGCACCCCCACGCTGCGCACCCCCAAGCTCCGCACCCCCAAGCTCCGCACCCCCAAGCTCCGCACCCCCAGGGACAGCACCACTCCTAGCAGAACCGGAGTCACCAGTGACCTCAACAGGCACAGGGACGGGAGGGTCTACCTGGGGAGGACCTGGGGCGAGAAGGAGCGGCGGGAGGGGGAGAGGAGCAGTGCGGTAGGGGAAGAGGCGGTAAAAGGGGACCGACTCGTCAAAGGTGACGTTCTGAGACGCAAAGACACGGCGCGAGGCGGGGTCGTAAAACTGCCACCCAGGCGCGTCAGGGACAAAGCCAAGGAAGACGCAAGGAATGGCGCAAGGGGAGAGTTTGTCCGCAGCGGTATTCGGACAAAAGCACGAGCACCCCAGACCCGGAAACGCGACGCGTCACCAACCTTCCCCGTCCACAGCAGTGTGGGCGAGGTCTCCGGCAAGGAGACACGGGGCCAAAGGCTGAGCTGATGCGCGGCGTACCGGACCGCAAACGGCCACAGAAAATGGGGGGCAGCCGCGTGGATCATGGAGGTATGAGCGACCTCCATGACTAAGCCAATGCGGCGTTCAGAAACCCCATCCTGCTGCGGAGAAGCCGGAAGCGTGAAAGTCTGGCGGATGCTGTGCCCCGCACAGAAGGCCGCCAAGAGGTCTGAGGAGAACTCACCACCTCTGTCAGAGTGCAGACGTAGGACAGGAAAGTCCGACTGGAACCGCTCGCGGAGCTGGAGACAAGCAGCGCGGATCCAAGGGATCAAAACATCAGGGACATCCCCCTTGCGCTGCAAGGGGAAGACCGTGGTGTAACGCGTGTAGTCGTCGACAACTAGTAGGAAGTACCGCTCGTGGCCCTATCCACGGACGCGGGCTGGGCCCCACACGTCCAGGTGGAGAGTCTGCAGTGGAGCCTCTGTGGGAGGGAACGAGGAGGCGTGAGGAGCGGCGCGCTGCCGCCCCTCGACGCAAGGAATGCAGGGCGGCGCAGGCGAGGGAGGGAGGGCAGGCAGAGACCTGGGAAGACCAGAGACCAGGAAGCGAGAGTGCATGCTACGCAGGCGAGGCAGGGAGGGGTGACCAAGGCGATGGTGCGACAGGAGAGTGTCGTGCGACAGCCGGCGACACTTACACTGGGTAGCTACCTGAGCAGACGCGTGTAACTGGGGAGACAAAGGGGCGGAGCGCGACGTAGTGGTAAGGGTGTACACACTGGACCCTGGCGCACGAGTGAACGTGGCCAGATGGCGGCCGGTCCGGGAGCATGTGCAGATTGCCACACGCTGCCGGCCAGGGGTGAAGGTGCCAACCCCCGCATTCTGGAGGACAGCGTTGCTCATCAAGTTCGTATAGAACGAGGGGAGGTAGAGACCAGACAGCTCACCAGACAGGACCGCCGGACACGGAAGCACGGTGGAAGACCGTGCAAGCACTGGGCCCCTAGAGGGGTCAGCCAGTGAGACAGGAACAGGTGCAAGGAGGGGAGTGACTGTGGTGCTGTCGCGAAAGAAACAGCAAGAAGCACCAGAGTCAAGTGTAAAGGTGTGCAAGGCCTGTGCAGACGCAGTACCAAGGGGAGCAGACTCACAAGCACCTAGTGCTGCAGGCGCTATACCAGGGACTATACCAGGATTCGGCGGCACACACAAGTAGCAGTCACCCTCAGCACTAACAGAAAATGCATACATAGCAGCAAGAATAGCCTCATAGTCAAGATCAAAGATAGGTACAGCACGCCTAAGCAGCTCTGCCCAGTTGGGGAACTCAGGAGCATCAAGAAACTTGGCGCGCGAGGCGTCGCTAGGCCGAGTGAAGCAGCGCTGCTCAGTGTGAAACCCTGTGCACTGGCGACCAGTGTGGGGACCTGTGCAAATGATATAGGGGCAGCAACCAGGACCCCCAGAAGCCCCACGTCCGGCATACCAGTCAAGAAGCTGCTGGGAAGTGGGGGTCTGGCGCTGACGCTGCTGCTGCAGCGGCTGCGACTGCTGCTGGCCCTGACCACCACTGCCACCACCGCTCCCTCCTCCCCCACCGCCGCTCCCTCCTCCCCCACCGCCGCTGCTACCACCTCCACCACTCCCAGTGCCTCCGCCGCCCCCACCACCACCTCCACCACCTCCACCCCCACGACCACCTCCACCACCTCTACCTCCCCCGCCGCCTGCACCACCGCCACCTCCACTGCCACCCCCACCTCCCCTGCCACCCTTGCCTCCCCTGCCGCTGCGACGCTTCCCACTAGGAGCAGAAGCAGCCCCGACCTCCTCAGCACCAAGGTAGTCGTAAGCAGCAGCTGCGGAGGCATAGGAGGGGGTGAGAGGGGAGGGGGAGCACCCCTCAAAGAGGGGAGAGCGAGGAGTGCCACGAGCAGCACCTACAGCGAGGATGTTCTTCTCTGCTGCGAGGAGATGCTTCTCGAAGTCGTCGACAGTGAGAGTGGGGGGGTCTAGCGCGAGGTAGTGGTCCCTGACTGAGCTAAGAGTGTCAGGGAGGCGGGTGACGAGGAAATAGAGAGTGAAGTACATCAGGGGGGGGGGGGGGGAGGTTTGCGGCGCGGAACTCGGCTGAAAGGGCGGCACGAAAGCGAGTGTTAGTAGCGCGTAGGTGGGAAATGAGGTCCTCAGCAGTGGTGAACGAGGAAAGGTCGGGGAACAGGTAGGGTAGCATGAGCCGACCTATGGCTGCAGTGGCCGGGGAGGAGTAGCGCGCAACTACAGCGTCGTACAGAGTCTTAGCAGTTTTGTGCTGTCTGAAATGCGTGCGCTCAGCAATCGGCAGATGTTTCCTAATAGCTAGGCGTACGGCAGCATCACGAGTCTGCCACTGCGAGCGTTCGAGAGCAGGAGCATCGGCAGTAGGAGCAACGGCAGTGCCAGACACGTAATCGAACAGTGAAACGCCCTCTTTGGCCTCGGCCAGGAGGAACAGTTGGAGATCATCTAACCACACAGCGAACTCTATGGGGCGACCGTTAGGCTCGAACGCGAGAACGTTAGGCGTCGTCATTATGGCAGCAGGTAGCAGACAAGAGGCGGCAGGCACCAGGCCACAGGCAAAGACAGAGGCAGCAGGCAGGAGACAGCAGGCAGCAGGCAGGAGCGGCCGCACGCGAGCCCCTAAAGCAGCGCGCTAAGCAGCAGCGGGCCGCGCAGGCGGCCGACGCGACGCGCAGCGCAGTGGCGGGCCGGGCTGGCAACAGACGCGGCGCGCGGGGCGACGGCGGGCTGTACGCGACGGCGAGCTGCGCGCGGCGACAGGCTGCGCGGGCTCTACGCGGGCTGCGCGGGCGACGCAGGTCGGCGCGCGGCGCTGCAGTAGTGGCGCGCACTAAAAATAGTGATTCGCGCGCTAGCAGTCGAGGCGCGCGCGAAAAAAAAAGGTGACGCGCGCTGTTGCCAAGGCGCGCGCGGGCAGTAGGCAAGGCGGGCAGGAAGTAGTTAGGGAAACACAGTTAGGTGGGCCCGATTCTTAGGTCCTAGAGACCTCCTGCTCTAGTTACCATGTTAAGAACTAAGGCAAGGATTATGAGATTAGGTCAAGGTTGGGGTACAAGGCTAGAGTGTCGAGAAAGTTTCTGTACCCCCTAAGGCTAGCCCCAATATAGCCTAGATAATGATATGCATATGTTTTCACAGCTTGCGCTCCGCGCTGGCGCTGGCGTCCGCGTCAGGCGCTGGCGCTCTGTCTGGCGCCTGGCGTTGGCGTCCGCGAGGGTGACGTGCGGGCCGCGGGTCGATGAAAGGGCGCGGGGCGACGTGCGGGCCTCGTGGCGACGTGCGGGCCTTGTGGCAACGAAACGGCGCGGGGCGACGCGGGGGGGCGCGGGTCGACGAAACAGCTCGGGGCGACGTGGGGGACGCGACGGGCAGAACGGGCAGAGCGCAGGGCGACCAGCGCGACGAGTGCAGGGCGCGACGGGACGAAGAAAAATGGCGCATTTCGCGTTTCAGTGGGCGGGCCCATGTTACTAATTAGGTCCTTAGACCGTTTTAGTGCTCTGTACCATGTTAATGAACATTAGGCTTAGGAGCCTAGGGTGAAAGCAAGATGACGAGAGAGAAGCCAAAAGAGGGGGTTGCACTATAGAATGCAATACAACCTATAGGAAACGAGGGAGGTGGTGAAGGGAGGTAGACCACCTAAGACAAGATAGGTGATACTACACTTACTAACTTATCATGCAATTATATAAGAACATTACATTCTGACATACAAGTACCTACGGTAACCCTAACTGTTTGTACCCCATATAGCATGACCCACTAAAGGCTATAACATTTGACACACCCCCATAGCCTAAGTGGGGAATGCCAAGCAACAAGAAACGCAACCTAAGGTCACAAGACCAGTCGCAAGCAAGAGAGGAAACAAAGCTCAGGGTGGATCACAACGTCACCACACAGTCTGAGCACAAACAAGGGGCCACAAGGCCTGTTCAAGAGTGTATAAGCTAATATATATATGGTACACACACATAAGAGGCAAGAAATCACTACTGCAGCCTACTTGACCCAGTCTCAACGAGACCTAACTACAGATAAAACCGGCGGTGAACGCAAGGCTGAAGACCTTGGTGAAGATGTCTGCTGTGTTGGCCTCGGAGGCCACGAAGTACAGACGAGCCTGTCCTCGTAGCTGCAACTCTAGAAGGAGGAAGTACCTAACGTCGATATGCTTCACTCAGCTCTCCAGTCGAGGCTCACGACACAGGAGAATCATCGCCTTGTTGTCAGCAAACAAGGTCGGTGCAGAGCTCGGCCGCTCACCAAGGTCAGTGAGCAAGAAGGTCAACCAGCGTAGCTCCTGTGCAGCAAGGGCTCCAGCGTAGATCTCGGCCTCTGCGGTAGAAGTCACAACAGAGGAGGACCGAGTAGACCTCCACGAAACAGCTCCAGAGCCCAGGCTGAAACAGTAACCCTGTGTAGACCTCTGAGTCTCAACGTCGTCGGCGTAGGAGGAGTCACAGTGACCGGTGAGTACAACTGGCCGTGTCCCTCCAAGTACAAGCCCCATGTCTGATGTCGCGCCGAGGTAATTCGCCACCCTCTTAGCCACCACCCAGTGAACAGGACGGTGTCTCCCAGTCGCAACAAAGCGAGAAAGGATGCTAAGAGGGAAGGCGAGGTCCGCGCGAGTACACGTCATCAGGTACATGAGGTAGTCCACCAGCTCTGCGTAGGGACCACTGGGCTCGAACGGCTCGTCAGGAAAAGGCCCAGTGAGTCTGTAGTCTACAGCAAGAGGGTTGGGTGTAGGAGAAGAGTGCTGAAGCCCGAACCCCTAAAGGACCTGCTGCACCATGTGTGACTGAGTCAGAGTGATGGTGCGAGCGGCTCTGTCCCTGGAGATCTACAGGCCAAGGTAGCGGCGCAGTTCCCCAAGTACAGTGCAGGTGTGTCTCTTCTGCAGCTCGGACTTCACCTCTGCCAGTGCAACTGTGTTGGCTGTGGCAAAAACCAGGTTGTCAACGTAGACGAGAACGAAGAAAGGTGTGCGCCCACGACGAACAAACAGCGACGGGTCGGCGGAAGACGGCTCAAACCCGAGGTCGGAGATAGTCAAGCGGAAAGTGTCGTGCCACTCACGGGGTGCCTGGCGGAGACCGTAGACCGATCGTCTGAGGCTCCACTGGGTCCCTGGCGGGAAAGTGCCAGTGAAGCCCGGAGGACGACGCAGCCAGATCTCCTCATGTAGGCGGCCCTGGAGGAAGGCAGTGGAGAAGTCAAGAGAGTGTAGCTCGTAGTCTCTCTGCGCTGCTACGTGCAGTAACACCCGAAGAGTGGTCATCTTCGGGGTGGGCGCGAAGGTCTGAAAGAAGTCAACTCCCTCACGCTGACTAAACCCTCTAGCCACGTAGCGTGCCTTGAAGACTGGGGAAGATCCCGGCGGCCGCTTCACCTTGAAGATCCACATGCTGTCAACGATGTTCGCCCCCGGGGGGGGGAACCTCGTCGAAGTAAGTGCCTGTGGACCTGTAGGAGGCCATCTCTGCGTCCATGGTAGCTCTCCACTGAGAGGCCCAAGGCCCTGACACTGCCTCAGCGAAAGTGCGAGGAGTAGGTATGTCAGGAGCGTCGGGGTCTCCCTCAGGAGCGAGGAGCATGGCACAGAGAGGAGGTGAAGCAGCTGCCAGGAACTCTAGCTCAATCTGTCTGTCCTCTAGGACATCACAGCCAAGAGCAGACTCACCCCTGGCGGACAGAGGACGGACAGGAGGAGCGGCCAAAACACGAGTGGCGTAGTCAAGGCGACGCTGTGAAGAATGAGGGATGAATGAACTAGGAAAGAGGTGGGTACAAGTAGGATAACCTAGAAATGTTGTACCCCATATAGTGTACCCCACTACAGCCTACACAGACTATAGCATATAAGTTTGACACACCCCCATAGGCAAAGTGGGGGAGAACAAGAGGTCACAAGACCAGTCAAGCAAAGCAAAGCAAGCTCAGGGTGGATCACAACGTCACCACACATTCCGAGAACAAGAGCAAGGCCACAAGGCTAGTTCACATGCAAGATCATATATAAAGGTAAACAAGCAAGTGCAGGTATAGAAAGATCACAGTACAAGCAAGGTCAAGAAGTGAGCAAGTGAGGCCAAGTAGGCACAAGACCTAGCATCGTATAGAAGCACTGATGATCATAAGGCGGAAGTGCCTTGGTAAAGATATCAGCATTGTTGGCCTCAGAGGCCACGTAAGCAAGGTGCACCTGACCACGCTGCTGCAGCTCACGAGCAAGGAAGTAGCGAAGAGCAATGTGCTTCGTTCTGTGCTCCAGTCTGTGCTCCCGACACAAGGCCAGCATGGCCTTGTTGTCTACGTACAGAACTGGAGGAGAACTAGGCGGCTCTCCTAGGTCAGTCAGCAGGTAGGTGAGCCAGCGTAGCTCCTGTGCAGCCATGGCCCCTGCGTAGATCTCAGCCTCACAGCTGGAGCCGAGAACAGAAGACGAACGGGTAGACCGCCACGAAACAAAGCCGGAGCCAAGGCTGAAGGTGTACCCCTGTGACGACCGCTGCGTAGCCTGGTCGTCAGCCCAAGAAGCGTCTGCGTGACCTGTGAGGACCACTCGACGTCGCCCTCCAAGCACTAGCCCCATGCCCGACGTACTCCACAAGTAGCGCAACACCCTCTTCGCTGCAGCCATGTGCTCTGGTCGGTGTCTCCCAGGAGCAACATAGCGTGCCAAGATGCTGAGAGGGTATGCAAGGTCAGGTCGTGTGCAGCTCATCAGGTACATGAGGCAGCCAACAAGCTCTGGGTATGGGCCACTCGGCTCTATGGACTCATCCGAAGGCAGAGCTGAGAGCAAGTGGCGAGTAGGCAGAGGAGTGGCCTGAGGCGAGGAGTACGGGAAGTTGAAGCGCCGAAGTCAGGGTAATGGTGCGCTGTGCTCTGTCCCGGGTGATCTGCAAGCCAAGGTAGCTGCGCAGTTCACCCAGGTCTGTGCACGTGTGTCTCTTCTGCAGTTCTGACTTCACGTGGGCGGGTCCAGCAGTGTCAGCAGTGGCAAAGACCAAGTCGTCGACGTACACGACGATGTAGAACGGCGGCAAAGAGGTGTCGGTGCGCAGAAACAACGACGGGTCGGCAGTAGAAAGAGCAAACCCAAGAGCCGCAAGTGTAGTCCTCAGTGTGTCGTGCCACTCACGGGGCGCCTGGCTGAGACCGTAGACTGGCCGCCGGAGGCTCCACTGGGTACCAGGAGGAAACGACCCAGTGAATTCAGGTGGGCGGCGCAGCCAGATCTCCTTGTGTAGGCTGCCCTGCAGGAAAGCTGTGCTGAAGTCAAGAGAGTGAAGCTCGTAGTCGCGCTGAGCGGCTATGTGCAGCAGCACCCGAAGAGTGGTCATCTTTGAGGTGAGAGAGAAGGTCTGAAAGTAGTCAACTCCCTGCCGTTGACTGAAACCTCGAGCCACGTAACGCGCCTTGAAGACAGGCGGAGAACCCGGCGGCCGCTTCACCCTGAAAATCCAGATGCCACTGACGATGTTCGCCCCAAGT